CTGGCATGTGCATATGCAAAAACTTCTGTTTTGAGTCATCTAAAGTACAACAGTCACCAAACAGGATTTTTCCTGAGTAATATCAACTTAATCTCATGGGAGATGAAGTTGTGGCCTTGGCATTATAAACTATCGACTTGAATTAACTGTCCCAGTGGAATACACTGGAAAAGCAAATAATTAATCAAAATATTAACTATAAGAAAAGGAAAAGTTAAAACTTGATTAGCCTAAGAATGAGAAGTCTGAGTAAAAGAGAATTATCTACTTAAGCATAAAAATTTTTAAAAACTAACAGTATGGTGACTACAGTTACCAATGCTGTATTGTATATTTGGAAAGTTGTTAAGATCTTAAAAGTTCTCATCAGAAGAAAAAAAATATTCTAATTATGTGTGGTGAGAGATGTTAACTACTTATTGTGACAATCGTTTTGCAAAATATACATATATTGGATCATTATGTTGTACACCTAAAATACAATATTATATGTCCATTATATTTCAAATTTTTAAGTTTTTAATGAGGAGTGGGGTACCTGGGCAGCTCAGTCAGTTAGGTGTCCGACTCTTGATTTTCGCTCAGGTCAGGATCTCAGGGTCATGAGATCAAGCCCTGCGTCGGGTTCCATAACGGGCATGGAGCCTGCTTAAGATAATTCTCTCTCCCTCTCTCTCTGACCCTCCCACTTCCCCACAAAGAAATTATAAATAAATAAATAAAGTTTTAATGAGAGGCTTGAACATTTGGTCTTATGGACATGTTCTGATCAATTTTAAAACAGGATTAGGACTGCAATCATTAAGAAGGGAAATAATGGACAGAATAGTGAAACAATCCTGAGATAAATCAGGCTGATTAAGAACCTGTGACTATAATTACCCTTCTAGATCACTTACGCTACTTCTGCAATATCTTGGAAATCTTAGTATTACTCTCAAAGGTTTTGATATTCTGATAGCAGTACTTTTATTTAGAATCATTTTACATTTACCCAATTCAAATATTCATCCAAAACAATTTAGGATTTAAAATTTTTTTTTCTGCTGCTTGTTACAGAAGTCTATCTCAAACTAGCTTAAACACAAAGGAAACGGATTGGCTTTCATATGCAGGAAGTCCAGGGTAGTCCCAGCTGCAGCAAGATCAGATCCAGACCATCTCTCCATTTCTACTGCCTTTGGCTTCATCACACACAGAGGGAGTCTGCAAACTGTCAGCAAAATGGTACAGCAAGGCCCAGATGCAGCCCCCTGCTAATTTAGCTATTCCAGTAAAGACACTGTTTCTCATCTTTCAGAGAGCAATCCCAGGGAAGGGGCATGATATGGAGTGGGACAGTCAGTGACAGACCCGCAAGGTCATACGGAAGTGAGAAGGCATCCCCTAAATGAATCAGACAAGATGTTTGGAAATGACTGCCAAAAAGACGAAAGGTAGAGCTAAGCCATTCCGTTCAGTGCTCTCATGGTTTTTGCTTTTGTACTGTACATCAGCTATACTTTCAAATGGAATTATTACAAAAATAATTTGGATACACACTGTAAACCATATTTGAGGGTTTAAAAAAAACTTTTATTTCAAAACAGCTCAGTCCTCTAATTTTGGAAACACTTGGGCTAATTTAGCTGGACTATATGGCAAGTCACATATGAAATGTTGCTATCTTTGCAGTCATGCATTAAGGGAAAAAAATAATAATAATAATAATCTCTTTTTGTGGCACCCAGGGAGAGGAATCAGAACAAGTCATTTGAGGTAGTCATCTGTGCTTTCATTTTCCATCCACCAGTTGGGTCAACAAGTATAGGAGTACACAGGTCCATTTGGAGGGAAAAAAACCCCAAAAAACAAAAAACCTTTTTTCAATTAATAATAAAACTGTTGCTTCACTTTGCAGAATTAAGGTGTCAGAGAGATCTCCCAAGACTCTAGCTCATTACATTTCTTCCTTTAAGGTTAGGAGTCTAAAACATTGACAACCTGGGGCACCTGGGTGGCTCAGTCGTTAAGCGTCTGCCTTTGGCTCAGGTCATGATCTCAGGGTCCTGGGATCAAGCCCCACATCGGGCTCCCTGCTCAGCGGGGAGCCTGCTTCTCCCTCTCCCACTGCCCCTGCTTGTGTTCCCTCTCTCGCTCTTTCTCTGTCAAATAAATAAAATCTTTAAAAAAAATAAAATAAAATAAAACATTGACAACCAGTACTTATCTATCCTGCTTCTGCTCCGTCCTCAACACGTGGAATATTCTTTACATCTCAGCTCCTATACGGTCAAGAACAAATGTAATGCACAAACACAAAGATAACCAGGAAAAACTACCTCATGAGTATCTACTATGTGACAAGTATGCTTCTAGGTGTTAAAAATAGAGCAGTGAATAAGTTTCCCATAAAAACTTACCGACTCCATCTTTAATAAGTTACAGCTATTGGTTATCTAGTAAAGCCACAATGAGATGCTTCCAATACACGACTCTTACTACTTCTGACTTCAATTAACTTAACCTTTCTGCAACATAATTCTTCCATTACTACCTAGGAACTTGTCAATCAGTAATTCTGTTCTGTTTACCATGAAGCAGCATCTTCAATGTTGGTACTTTTCTTATTTTTGAAACTGACGAAAATATGTGGCTTTTATGTCAGTAACTATTCACATCACATTTCCCAGTGGGACATTCAACTCTTCTTAAATGGCTAATTTTCTACAGCTAAATGTGTGTGTGTGTGTGTGTGTGTGTGTGTGTGTGTGTGTGTGTGAGCGGGGCTGGAGGGAGAAGAGTAATTGTTGATTAACTCTTTAAACCACAACACTCTAATTGCAGTTTTTATTTTGAGAAGTGAATTCAATTCAAATCCCTGAATTACACTTTGACCTCTAAGAACAATCACTGTGTGGGGCGCCTGGGTGGCTCAGTCGGTTAAGTGACTGCCTTCGGCTCAGGTCATGATCCCAGAATCCTGGGATCGAGCCCCGCATCGGGCTCCCTGCTCAGCAGAAAGCCTGCTTCTCCCTTTCCCTCTGCCTGCCCCTCTGCCTACCTGTGCTCTCTGCCTCTCTGTCAAATAAATAAATAAAAATTATCTTTAAAAAAAAAAAATCACTGTGTACCTATAAAAATTCAAAGTATAGCCTGTTATTTCTTTTGGTATCTTGTTAATACTTTAAAGTTATTCTCCATTTGTTATATACAAATTTCAATGTTTGGGTATATATAAATACTTCAGGAGTACCTGGATGGCTAAGTGTCCAACTCTTGGCTTCAGCTCAGGTCATGATCTCATGGGTCATGGGATCAAGCCCCGCATCAGGCTCTGTGCTCAGCGGGGAGTCTGCTTGAGGATTCTCTCCCTGTGCAGCCCCCACTCACTCTCTCTCTCTCTGATAAATAAATCTTTAAAAAAAAAGTATTTTAGAACTTTTGCCATGGCTTAGCAAAACTTGTAAACCAATGCTCATCAATTCTGAGCTAGAAAACCAAGATCATTATTTTCTGCTTTCCCAGGATGGTTCTTAATTAATTCCCACTACATATGTCTCATTTAATTCTTCTGTATATTCATTTAATGTATAATCATATACGTATATTCATTTAACACAGTTATTTTTACTTCCCATTAGTTAACAACTGGCTAGTATTTTTCACTACTAAGACTATGTGGTCCCTCATATTATGTTATGTGCACACACAGGATGTGCTTGATGCCCTACTGAGAACCACTCCTGCCTCCCTCACTAGGAGTCCACGAAAACAGAAGAGAAAAACATGTTCTGTACTACTGCTCAACACTAGTCTTTACTTAAAACTAGGCAGGCATCACCTAATTAAAACTATCCTTTAAAAAAACACCTTAGTAGTTGGGGACACCTGGGTGGCTCAGTCGGTTAAGCGTCCGACTCTTGATTTCAGCTCAGGTCATGATCTGTCATGGGATCGAGCCCCACTTTGGGCACTGCACTCAGCGTGGAGGCTGCTTGGGATTCTCTCCCTCTCTCCCCCTCACACCTCTCCCTGCTTGCACACGCATGCACACACACTCTAAGATAAATAAATAAATTAAAAACCACCTTAGGAGTTGGGAGAGACTTTTGAAACGAAAGGTAGAGCGGGTGTCAGTATCTAAATAAAATGACAAAATGTGATACATGTTTAATAACAAGAAACTTTATTGAATTACAAATTTAAAAATGGATCACTTAATTTAAAAGTGGGACTATTTTAGTTTTATTCTTCCAAAATTCATTCTTCCAAAAATGCACCTTATTTTTCAAGTGATAAAGGTTAATCTGTGAAATGACAAAGTAGAGACAGGATGGTACCAGTGGGCCAATGCTCATATATGAGGTCCTAACATGGACTTTTAATGTTGCTTTCTGTATTACATCAAATTGATTTGCATTAAAAAAAATGGGAAAAGGGAGCAAAGGGGAGTGCAAAACATGTACTGAAGTCTTCCTATAGGAGTCTGATAGAATACAGATTTAGCATAATAAAATGTGGCTTTTGTAAAAGTGGCCTTTAAGATGTGCTAGAGCAAGTGTACCCTAAGGAACCCATGTGAAAATCACTTTTTCTTCTTCCTAACAAAACAAATGGTACACATGTAAAAAATAAAATTTAATTATAAGATTTGTATTGTAAAACCAATTGCATTATAGCCCATATATTTTGTTGAACAACCTCATTCATTGTGTTACAGAAAAAGAGCAAATTTGACTCAGGACAAAAATATTTTCTATCAACCTCCATATGGAAAGACCACAGCTTTAATGATTTATATAGTCCTTAAACTTAATCCTTGGTCAGTAAAGATTTCCAAACCAAATCAAGTCATAACTGTTTATAGTAACTATACTGTACTAAAATGCTAATGTTTTCTTCCCAGGTATGTCTTCCTATGAGGGGAAAAATGATCAGAAGCTTTCTTTGCCTATGCTGGGATTTATGAAAAACCTACTAAACTACAACAGTGTTCTGCAAAACTAAAATACACTAACTACAAAGTCAAACGGGCAAATAAACAACAAAACCAAACTGATTTCAACAAAGTCATGTTTCCAAAAGTAAAATCTAATAAGAACAAGTCATAAACATGTACAAGAAATTACAAGAAATGATTATCACGATTAGTTACAAATGCAAAATAATATCTAATTATCCCAGACTTGTGAACATAATAATTAAGATCAATTTCATAGGCTAGTTCAAATATTATGTACAATTTAGATAAGTTGGTCAAGTAGTATCTGAATACACACCACATGTGATAAACTTATATTACCTCTTCTCCTCCTTTACTATTTGCAGGTATGTGCCAATATGGGGGGAAAAATATAATTTCCATTTACATATTAACTGAGAAGAATAATATTTCTACTGTGTATGTTTGGACTGTAAAAAAGTTACAGTACATTTTCCTTTTAAAAGAAAAAAAAGGTAAAAATAAATTGCCAAAAGTTTAACTGATAAAAGTTTAATATCAACTTACTATAAAAATGAAAAAAATGTTTTGAAACAGATACCATACAATTATTAGGTGGGCTCCCTACTGATCTGAAACTACAGAAGGCATTTAAGGAAAGAATGCTATGTCAAAAACCAAGACTAACCCAAGGGATGTATGTTACTTTAAAAATCTGATTTGCAGGGAAACTAGATGCTTGGCCTAGTTTTAAAGCTAATTACAAAATCCATTTTTTAATGGTCCAGACACTTTGCCATTTCTTCCAACTCAACAGAACTGTCAAAAAAAAAAAAAAGGAGAAGTATTTCGTGAGACCTTTAAATACACACAATGGGGTGTATCCCGCCCCCATTTAACACAGTATACACCTTATACTGCTAAAGAAAGAGGCATTTTTGAAAAAGATGCTGTATTTCTCAGACATGAACAGACACCTATCCTAAGTGTTTGACTTTTCCAATTTGGAATCAGTAGGAATATATAACTGAAGAAACAGTATAAAATATTTTATTAACTATCCCTCTTAATGTTTTTAGGTTAAAAAAAATGAATTAAAAAAAATGAATTCCAAACTTGAACTTCTAGAGTAACCCATCCTTAGGCATCAGCTTTCTACATTAAATTGAACTTTCAAATCCAAGAAGTACTGTCAGAACTATGCTGCAAACTGCCTGTATTCAAAACAACTGCAATATGCCCAATAATACAGAAATCATCATCAACATCATCATCATCATCCATTATGCAAAATAAATCTAAGAGCTAGCTGGAAAAGCCAGACTTGCTCAAGAGGACCGAAAATAAATAATTAAAAAATGAATGTCCCTCTCTTAACCAATGTAAAAACCTACCACCTCAGGATAGGAGACTGTTTCAAATCATGATGACACTCTCAATACCAGTAACCTTCCCAGCTCAGAACTAAGTCCTTTGTGTATAATAAAATGGGTACTGGTCTCAACCCCTAAAATAATGTCTAGGGCCAAAGTCCTATACCATATTTGTGTAGAATATTCCCTCATTGTCTAGCTTTTAATTCACTTCTGATTTTCAGAAAATGCTTTAACTTAGGTGAGTAATTCAAAATAAGCATTAAAGGGCTAAAGCTAAGTACAGCTTAAAAAAAAAAAAGAAGAATCACACAAGCTTCAGAAAAACCAATAAACGCAACTAGCATTTTTGGAATACCAACAATTATCAGGCACTTTTTAAAAAATTATCTCTACTCTTCACCTCAGCATGTGATGTAGATATTATTTGCATGTAATATGTGAGAAAATCACAGTTCACTAATGATAAGAAGAGAGTTCAAAGCCTATTTGGCTCCAAAGACTATATTTCTACTACGTGAGCCTCCCCAACCACACACCCCTAGCAGCCCCATCTCTGGTAACAATAAAAATGGTCTCAGAAGTGATGTGTAATTCTTCTCCCAAGTTAAATTATATTTCTGTGGCTCACAAAAATACTCAAGAAGGGATCATTTAAATAACATACACTTGCCTGTGTGGGGCTCATTCAAGGGTTCATAGGTGATATGAAGGCTCAGTGAAAAGCCTACCAAACTATGACAGTACTCATCTGTTAATTCCTAAAATAAACACTAAAACCATCCTGCTGCATTTCAACAAGGTAAAGTAATCTTTCCAGAATCAAAATCTATGAAGACAAGTAATACCCAAAATCTATGAAAAGAGCCAAAGCAATTAAATGAGTATAGTATATATAGGACTATGATACAGTAATTGCAGTTAAGATTCAATCCTGTTACTCCTGCACCAAAACAATATGAAGATAGGAAAATTAAGTTAACATTATTAATTTCTAATAGAGTACAATATATTATTCCTTTACAAATGGTTCGTCATGGACTTCTGTAGTACTGGACAGCATGAGCAGATGTATATATTTAGATACCTCAGTAGTCTTATGAAAATACGTGAAGAAATCTATTATAAATGGGTAAAATATGAATATAAGAAAGTCATATACCTTCCATCGATTTCCACATTCATTGCAGACAACAAATGTTGTCATCGGTTCATCAGCACTACGAGTTTGTACCTGCAGCAAAATCAAGTGAAAAATATTTTTATAATACTATAAAAAGTCCGACCTAAATAAGAACATTCTACATTAAGATATACAGTAACCACAACGGTACCACGATAAATGTATAAGAGCCCGAAACAAGTTCAAATAAGCTAAGTAATGTCAAAAGGATACATATTTCGAAACTTCATTTTTCTAAGTCATTCCTTGTCTTTTCATGTTTAATTTATCCCAGATAAGTGGGAAAACCATCTAAAGTCACACATACTTTTTATAAATGGCTAATATTAAAAAATTTCATAAGAAGCACAGAAATGTTAATTAAAAGATATGTCAATTTTCTCTTATAAATTAGCAGAGATGTAAAAATTATGAATTTCATTCTGAAAAATACTGTCTTTCACAACCTTTCTAAACTTTAGGCAGCAACAAGGTAAGAGCCTCAAACAGCCATTCTCTCTGACCTAGGAACTTGACATCTGATCTATTCTAAGAAGGTAATTAGAAACAAAAATAAAGACCTGTGTACAGATCAACATCACCGATCATTAGGGAAATGCAAACCACAGGAATTATCACCTCACACCTGTTAGAATGGCTATTATCAAAAAGACAAGAACAGATATTGCTGAGGATGTGGAGAAAAGGGAACTCCTGTGTACACTGTTGGTAGGAATGTAAACTGGTATATTCATTACGGAAAACAGGATGGCAGATCCTCAAAAAATTAAAAATTAAACTACCACACAGGGATGCCTGGCTCGCTCAGTTGGTAGAGCATGCAACTCTTGATCTCGGGGTCATGAGTTTGAGCCCCACGTTGGGGGGTAGACTTTACTTTAAAAAAAAAAAAAATGGTAGAGCCAGCATAAAAAATAAAATAAAATCAACTACCTTATGATCCAGTAATCCCATTCTGTATATCTGAAGGAAATGAAATCAATACCTCAAAAAGTTATCTACACACCCATGTTGACTGCATTATTCACAATAGCCAAGATATGAAAACAATCTAAATGTCCTTCAGCTGAAGAATGGATAAAGAAAAGTGATATATATACACAATGGAACATTATTCAGCCATAAAAAAGAAGGAAATCCTACTATTTGAGACAACACAGATAGACCTGGAAGGAATGCTAAATAAAATACGCCAGAGAATTACAAATACTATATGGTATCACTTATATGTGGCATCTTAATAAATAAATTAAAATAAATAAATTTGGATTTCATAGAAACAGAGAACAGATGGTAGTTGCAGGGGCTGGGAGAAGGGGGAAATGGAGAGATGAAGGTCAAAGGATATAAACTTTCAAGTATAAAAACAGTAATTTCTGAGGATCTAATATACAGACAGTGACTATAGTTAAGAGTAGATCTTATGATCCCAGGGTTCTGGGATCGAGCCCCGCATCGGGCTCCCTCCTCAGCGGGAAGCCCTCTCCCACTCCCCCTGCTTGTGTTCCCTTTCTCGCTGTCTCTGTCAAATAAATAAAATCTTAAAAAAAAAAAAAAAAAAA